AGTTCTGCTATCTATGAAAGCGTGTTTAATTAGTTTTTCAAAACACTATTTATTACATAGCTCGTTCGACATATTGGATCCGCCATCTTGAATTTTCTAATTCTGACGAAGGAATCATAATCTCCGACCCAAAAACCCCCAGATACCAAATTTGAATAGTATTGGATCATAATTTCAAAACTTGTTCGCCATATTGGATCCGCCATCTTGAATTCTCCAATTTTGATAGAAGAATCATAATCTTCGACCCCAAAAACCCTAAGATACCAATTTTGAATATAAACGGATTATAATTACAAAACTCGTTCGCCATATTGGCTCCGCCATTTTGAATTTTCCAATTCTGACAAAAGAATCATAATCTGAGACCGCAAAAACCCCCAAATACCAATTTTGAATGGAATCGGATTATAATTACAAAACCCGTCCGCCATATTGGATCCGCCATCTTGAATTTCTAAATTTTTTCTCTCAGGGGATCCTTCTTCTGACAATAACAAACACAAAAAAAAATATTTAGTGAAATCGGTCAAGCCGTTTACGATTTTATAAAGGACATATATACAGACAAACATTCATTTTTATGTAGGTATAAATAGCTAAAATGGGTTTGAGATAAGCCATAAACTATACTCTGAAGAAGAAAAAAAGTAAAGCATGTCTGATTGATGATAGATTCAGCATCGAAAAAGTTAATATTTCACAGAATTCATTCATTCATTTTCATTTCATCGGCATCTAAAAGCCAAGAAAATTTCGCGGTTTTGTTGTTGTATGGCCAATTTCGAGGCATCACCCTGTAACATAAACAGTTCCATCAAAGCTACAACCTTATAATTGACGTATAAAATTCGAAACCTCCCGATAATGAAATGACTTTTTTTATGGTCCGCATATCATTTGAAATGTAGCACACATGTTTTTCATTTTGAGAGTTCATTATAGGGAACAACGTTGAAATTTTAAGCGTCTCTCTAATTGACTGGCCGTTTATTAGTCATATTTTTTCATTTGGAGAAATTCCGAAAGAAGTCTGCTCTTTTGTGTTCAGATGAAAACGAAAATAGATATCTATATGAAATATGTATATTGAGCCACCATAGAAACAATATGATTTAGCAATCAGAGTTCCTGACTGAAATTTCCAATAGTTCCAGCAAATCGTAGATGTAAACAGAAAAAATTATATTTGAGCGCTAACTTCACGCAGCGCCTTTTTTTTTCTTCGAAAAGCTGAGTTTTGATATATTTTTTTTTGTATTATAAAGAGTTCTGGAGTTCTAAACCTATTTCATCCATAGTTCTGGCTAATGGTGGATTTATAAACTCAACTAAAGTAACAATTAAATTAACAACTGAGAATTAAGAAAGATGGATACGTGGAAATCCCATTGGGGTTTTATAAACTTGTATCTGTCAATTAAACTAACAATTAACAACTAAGAAGATGGCCATCTTTCATCTTCTCAACTAAGAATTAACAATTATGAATTCAAGGAATTAAAGACCACGAAAATATGAAATATATCTTGTCTATGGAGAGATTTAACTTCACTTTTAATGAAAATACTTACGAGTAACTCCCATTATAGTGGCTATCATTTGGCAAGCATTTTCCTTTTTGACATTGTTTTTGAAATCCATGTTTCTCTTGCCATAGAGTAGTCTAAACTGGGACACCCTCTCTATCAGTTCTTCGTCGTCCATTATTTTGATTAAACTATCTCTGTATTATGAAATATTTTTCATCAGGAAGGAAATCAACCCTTTCATCAAACATAACATAACGAAACAGAACGCCCAGAACGGTTTCTTTACTCTAAACGTCAAGCATGAAACAATAAAAGACCTAATTCTAAATTTTCAGTAAATGATGTTTATAAACGCATCCTTATAGTTGTTAATTGTTAATTGCTAAGTGTTAATTCAAGTTCTTAGTTTAGTTGAGTTTATAAATCCACCATAACTAAGCAAATTATTGAATAATTTAAGGAAATAAAATACGAAAATGTGTTTCTATAGGCAGCATTTCTTGGTGAAATACTATTCCGTTCTCTTTCGTATTGAAGAAAAAGCTATCGAGAAACAAGAACGAAATTCATTGGAAAATATTGAATCTGAAAAAAATCTGCTGTCATAATAAGGTGCTGACCTTTCGATGAAAAATCAATTTCAGAGAACAGAACAGTTCTGATCAGAGTTCTGAGTAGCGCTCGACGGGTTCTTCAAAATATTTTCATCGTGTTTTAGGAGGAAATCGATACTTTTTCATTTATCATCTGTCATAAGGTGCCAACCTCAAAAAACTAACATATTCGATAAAAAATGTATTCTGAATAGCGCTCGACGAGTTCTTAAAAAAATTCACATTGTGTTTTAGTGACAAATCGATACTTTTTCATTCATCAGCTGTCATAAGGTGCTAACCTCGAAAAACCATGTAACTATGTAACTTTTAGAAATGAGAGTTATAGCACAGATTAACAAACCAGATACTATATTAAGTCTTTATCAAAGCTCACATTTATTTTTCATTTTCGAACTTTGTCAACTTTTACAACTACTTATTTATTACATTGTTCTATTTGTGCTACCCTGTAACTGGATGGGTAAAATTATCTGTTGAGTAGCCTATTCATCTAAATAAATAAATAAATAAATGATATTATGTAGTTATAATAACACGGAATGAAGAGTTCTGCCGAAAGGGCACTTACTATTTTCAAAAACTTTTGTGGCCTGTGAGATAATTTAGTTTTTCAATCGAAATTCCGACCACGTATTCCAAATATTGACTAATACAGGGTGATATTACAAAAAAGTTTAGTATAAAAGTTTTTCAAGTTATTTTCTTTGGCACTCACATGAAACTAAGCCATCAACAAGTCAGGAAAACTGTTTGTTGTATCTATCAAGTAGTTTGTTCTTGAACTGTTTTTCGAAAACTCCTTTGCATTGTATCAGTTATATAATTATCACCATAAGCCAAAAGTTTATGTCTCTTCAGGGGATTCACGGTGGATGGCACATCAGACGTTTTTGGTGAACGAAACTCAGGATTATTCTGAAAAGTTGGTGCCTTGGAAATATTCTGAGCGTTGCGACGTTGCCACTTATATTGAAAAGAAGCAACAACTTTGATTTTTTTCAATGGAACACCCTGTATATCTTTCCATTTTCATATCCTCCCTGAAGAGCTGATTCCATCGATCTATTACCCTTCGGATCTAGCGGGAATGATAAAAAAGATATAGGGTGAGCATTTTTTGTGTCGAAACTATTCATAATTGATCAAAACGGTTTCCATGTCACTATATCAACTTTTCATGTACTATCAATTGATATTAAATTGAAATAAATACAGGGTGGTTCAGAAATACGATTTTTGACATATAAAAAAAATGAAAGAAAAAATATGAATCAGTTTTTTGGATCATAGAATGAAACATTCGTTCTCTTGATCCATTAGTTTCATAAGAAAAGAGAATCAAATTTGTAACAGTACAGATATTCGAGGAAAGCGAGTGCCTGACCAATATTTCAATGTCAATGAAAAATGAGAGTGCTGGACTTAGTGGACTTACGTATCACCCTGTAGATCCCCACACGGATGTCAAAATTTATGTTATACATACGTAACTCGACGATTAAATCATTTACATGGTGCTCGATTATTTATAGAGGTATTTTGTGAGCTGCGGCAGATGTTTCATGTAAATTTTGGCCGTAAAGTACCTTTTCGAACCACATGGGAGCCTTTATCTATGTGGGCACGTTGATTTATAAGACAAAAAACGGTCGCCGGCGATTTTTTACGATGAAAAAAAAATTAGGGTGACGGACCCTAATGGAGATGGAGTGACAGTGACAGTGGAGTTCCGATGTGATCGTCATATGTTTAGCTTTTGGCTCAGGACAGTAAGGAATATCAAAAACCAATATTTGGAATTCAGTGAAGGTTGTGGAAATTTTGATCGATAGTCAAAAAACAATCATTTTTTCTTCTGTAGATATAGATATCAGTGGCGGCCCCTCAGAGGAGGCAACGGAGGCTGAGCCTCCTCAGAGATTCTCCTTAAACTGATATACTTTCTCATTAAAAGGACACCAAAATACATGGTGTTTGATTTCATTTCCTGTCAGGTGAATATTTCTGAATTAGCAACATCTATAGGAGGCTAGACTGCTTCACAATGCGCAATGCAAATGCCCGAATACGCCCGAATAGCACGTGTTTGTCGTGTCGCGTCACGAATTGCGGGCAATCCAGCGCGAGTGCAATGCATTGTTTATGTTTATGTTTATGTTAGGTTAATGGTTAGGGGATCTATAAATTTCTGAAAAATGAGTGTTTTGAACGATTGCGATTTAGTGGAATAATTTTTGGTGGACCCATTCAGTGCTTTGTCTTATGAAGATAAATTGATTGTGAAAAACAAACGTCCGACACCGAAATTAAAATATCTGATTGTAACAGGTAGCAAACAAAATCTTTCGTTCAATTCTGATAATTATAATAAATATATCTGGTTGACGGGACCTGAGGTAAGGAATAAGCTATTTTGTTGGTACTGCGTATTATTTTCAACCTATAAGTCATCATGTTGGAGGCGATTAGGATATAATGATTTGAAAAATTTGCCTCGCGGATTGGATAGACACTGCAAATCACAGAAACACATCTCTTCAAGTATTAAGTTCAGGTTAACTGGTAAACAGAATGTCATTAAGGCTATTGGTTTGGGTGAGTCGTAGAGAGTTGTTTTTCACAATAAATCTCATATCATTCAGCCTCCTCTGTCATGAAAGTCACGAGCCGCCACTGATAGATATTACGGAAGAACCACGTTTAATATTTGTTCTTTTCAATCGATATACATTTTCCGTTTCAATTAGATCAAAAGATGCGCCGATCTTTGAAATTTGATACATTAGTATACCAAATCCTTGATAATATAGACGATTATGTTATGATTTTGATGAGAAATTATCTTTCTTACCATTGGAGGCCATATTGTAGAGACTCTGGTGCTGCCCTTTCTTGCGGTAAATTTTGATGACGAAAAACGACAAGAAACAGACTAAGAAGATGGCTACGGTGAGTCCTATGTAGAGTAGGATATCATTCTGAGTGTTCTGAATATTTGCTGAAACAAATAGAAAAATCATTAGTCATCAGAAATCTACGTCTAACATAGAAGTTGTGAAATTTGCGAATGAAAAATGTACATAAATCTACGGATATCTTATCCATCATACACAGAGCAATTGAGATGAATTGAATAAACAAAATATTTCGTCGTATAATCCAATATGGACAAAATATCTTGTTACTGGAACAAAAGTTTCGTGATTGAAACAACATCATGTGCAAATAATATCTACTATTCCTTCTCCAATTTCTCCTTTTCGAACCTCCATGGATTTCTGATGAAGGTCAGTATGTCCGTCCACCATAGTAATTTGATCATAAAAAAATGTCCGATTTCATACGTTGGTGGGTACCCACGAGAAAAAAAAATTCCACTAAAATACATACGTTGCTATGATAATTTATCATAAAAACCCGATTTAACTGTATAAAAATCACTGGTGTGGAATTGTCTCACAAACATCATGCCCCTTGAACGAATTATTCAATTATGTGAACAGTATAAATTATTATGTATGCTCAATATTTTGTAATAATCGCAAAACTTTTGTAAAACTATCAAGATATTTTGTCGTGGACGTGGATATGGGACAAAATATTTTTTTCTACTCACATAACTAAAATGGTATTTAGCGTACGGATATGTACCACGCTAAATGATCGATTAATCACGGATTGTCGATCTGTGATTTATTCAAAATATTAAACACGTTACCATGGCAACACGATTTCTTAAACACATTACCATAGCAACGCAGTTCATTAAATACAGCTTCAGTAATTTGAGAGATGTTTGGCCTGTCAATTGTATCAACTGTCAACTGTTATTTTCGAATTGTGTACCTATAAGAATTATTCAAACATTCGTTTGTATCAGAATTCTTCATTAAAAATATATGCAAAAAGTAGACGAAAGTGAAATCGAAGAGAATGTTCTGGTAATTGCATATCTTCAAGGAGTGTAAAAATGAAGCATCCATCTTTGAGAACAATTTATTTATTCTGCGCTAAGCATGACAATAAACGCGAAACAAAAGTTGGTAATAAGCAATGGACTGGACACATCTACAACCAATATCTCTTATACGTGTCTCGCTGGTTGCATGCAGTTGCATGTATTATGTTCTCAATTCCCATGCCTTTCGAATTATTTTGTAGGTTAGCAGGAATTGCATTGCAGGTATGTTAATGTAATTTTCGGAGTTCGTAGAAAAATCATAGTAAGTAACGCGTTTATAAACTCTTCTAGACACTCGTTTATTAAACACTCGCTCCGCTCTGCTCCGCTCGTGCTTAAACTACTCGTTACTAAAAGGACGTTTATAACACTTGTTACATAATATACTATTCCAATACCAAACTATAATAAATCTATCTGCAACAGGCCTTGACCAGAATTATTATAGGAAACATTCCTGGTCATGTCATAATTATAACGAAATTCCAAATGCACGAAATATAAATAGCCACAATGAGAATAATTCGTTTGTTTTTGATTTTTTATAATTCTCCCATCAGAATTCGCCTTAAATTGGCTTCACTGCGAGGCCCTATCTAATCCCCTCAACTCAGAATGGAAAATGTTTTAACGCGGATAATTCGAGAGGTAGGTGCACAAATTGAGTCGGAATTCCCAAGTCGAGACGAAATTGGATCATGCAAATTGTTATTGTGCAAATGTACTTAATTACGAACTAATTTAAAGTTCATTCGGACTGGATATATAGCTCAAAATGTTTTGTACGCCAGCCCCCCTTGGGCAACCATTATTACTAGGATATTGAAGAGAACAAAAAACGTGGATATCATTGGTATATATTTGATGTTCGGCAGAATTGAATGGAAACCACTATTTTTCATTTGGTGATAGCCGTAAAATTACAATACAAATAGTTTCCTGATTTTTTTAATTGTCTCGGGCGTTACTTGATGAAAATCTATGGCAAATGTAAAAACTTCACGAAAGATGAGATATCCACAAAATTCTCAAACAAACGACATGTTTCGTTAACACAGTAGCTTCGTCAGGTGATATACTGGTACAATGAACTAAACCAACCTTGGCTTGTTATACGACGCTATACCTATAGTGGAGTATACTACGGCCTTGCCAAAAATGCTATCTCGGAACTAAGCGAGATAGAGATATAGTTACTTTGGAGAAAATGATCCCCATCGAATTTTGAGCAACTTTGGTTTTTGTGTGTGGTCTGTCTGTCTGTCTCTCTGTACTCTGTGGTAATCATAAATCGATATATCTCCGGAACCCTTTGACATATCGACTTGAAATTCCGCCATCTTATTGTACTCAAAACAATATCATGTCATTAAAATATGAAGGAAATCGGAAAACTCTAAGGTGGTTTTTCCGGTTTTTTTCGATTTTTCACCGGAAGTTTCTTGTGACCACTCTACAAATCGCAAAAGTGGTCCGATCGATTTCATTTTTTGTGAAAGAAAACTCTATCAGGGAGAGCCGAAGACTATTGAAATTGAGCAGGGTCGGAAAATTCCAAGTGGGTTTTTCAAGGAGATTTTCCGAAACACACGATTCGCTTTAAAACGACTCCTGAACCAATAGACTAAATCCAAATTTGAAAAATGCACCGTATGCTTCTTTGATGACGCAACAAATTATTATTTTACCATTTTTTCGTGCATCCATCGGAAAATGGAAAAACAAATGAAAATCAAAACATCAAAATTTGAAATCCTTTCAATTCAATATATATCGAAAACAAATGGAAAAATCGAAAATTATCAGAAGTGCAAAGTTATCCACTGGAACATTTCCTACAAATTATTACCCATATTTTTTTTCTGTAAACCCAATAGTACAGGAAATAAAGTAAGAAATATGAAAAAAAAAAAACATTGAACGACCCATAGGGTACCATGAAGATATATTGAAAAACAAAGATTATCGATAGATGAAGCTCGTTGACTTCCACTGAACCATGAAATATTTTTTCCTTTTGTTGATTGGAAGATGGAACAAAAGTGTTGAAAATTTTATTCTCAGATAATTCCAAATATCTCGAAAACAACTGAAAATATCTTGAAATGCTATAGAACCAAAATTATTTCTTTTGATAGAATCTACAAAAAATCCGAATAACATTTTTCTCTGAATTCAATAGTTCGGGAGATACGATGAAGAAACTGAGAAAATTACAAGTTCCTAGATAATCACTTGCCAATAGAAAACAAAACAAAAAACAAAAGAAAGTAAAAAAAGCACACTCGACTGTCTTGATTTTTTTCTCATAAACTACGTACCTAGCTCACTCGACTGTCTTTATTTTTCGCCAAAATATGTTGGCATTGTTTTAACTTTCTTTTGTTTTTGTTTTTTTAGTCCCTATTGGCAGTCGAGTGGGCTAGGTACGTAGTTTGTGTGGAAAAACCATGATGTATGATGTAGATCTCAGGAGGCCATGAAATGATACTAAAATCTTTTTGAGTAATACATACATTATGGAACAAAAAAATTGTCATTGGATATAGGCAAACTTATTGAGCTGAAATAAGAATCCCCAAAGTTGGACTAAGCTTAATACATCATTACTAAGTCTCCAAGTAGGTAGAGTCTTTGTCCTGAATTTGAGCATGCCACCAATCCAATACATCCATTATTTCCCCATCCAGACAGCTTTGCAATTAATCCTTATCGTCAAACACACTCCATTGTTCCTATAAATCGTATACGTACAATACGCACCCCTTAAAAAGGAGTTCTTCGTTCGACTTCCAATCGACACCGCTGAGAATACACCATAAAATGCAATTCACGTTCTCAACGAGACCGCACAATCTCAATCTGGGAACATAAATCTCAAGGAAATCACTTTAACAGTCGGGTCTGTAATATGCCGCGACAAGGGACGCCTCTCCATACATCAATCCTTGCAATTGATCTCATTGTCTGAGCGATTTTATCCACCAACCAGATGCAATACAGCGACCAGAGAGAAATGAATTAGAAGTAAAAAAAAAATTTTTTCTGCAACCGACACAAAAGTCGTCCATTTTGATACCGACATTAGCTCTTAAATTGACGTTTCTATTACTGACACAAAAATAGGTATGTTGCTAGGCAACATATTTAGTTCCTAGGAGCTAAAGTTGAATTTTAGTTCCTAGGACCTAAGGTTGAATTTTAGTTCCTAGGAGCTAAAGTTGAACTTTAGCTTCTAGGAACTGAAAAGGATGTACTGTACGTCATCAAGAATAAACAACATTGTGACGGTTGATTATTTGGGTTGAGACGCATACCTGATTTGTTTCCGAATTCAGCAGATTGTGCATTTCATACCCATGCTGGAGATATAAATACACCTTATTAAAGTTTAGTATTGGAATTATAAACATCTCAGTTGAGTATTTTTGTTGTGATCAGGGAAGCCTTCAAGATTCAAATACTTGCTTGATCTGTATTTCATTCGTTATTCTCGGGATGGATAACTTGTTTTTGAATAATCACGGCAAGCAATAGTTATTTTGTCTCAAACAACGATATTGTTTAGCTTCATTTGATTATCAAGTCAAACACAGTGTAGTATAGAGAGGAATAAATAATCGCTATTATTATTGTTGATATGCTCACTAAACTAACATTTTCCACGTCTAGTTCCTATAGCTGGCACTGGCGCGGTATTTGCCATTAGAGCACCTGGTCCATACACAAATATGTCACTCTGTGGTTGTATTTATATTGAAACTACAATTTGAACATCCTTGAAAACCTAACCTGCTGTTAATGCAGGTAGAATATTCTCACCACACGGATTATTTGTCAATATTTGTTGCATTGCATACATATGGCACGGCATTGGTGGTTACTTCACATGTTTATTTGAGTTCATTGTTTCGGTTGCAGAAAAAATAGCATGTTTCATTCGAATCAAAAGTGACTTTGTTCGACTCGCAAATTTTGCTTTCGCACGGCTTCGCTAAACGCTCCGCCTCGCAAATGCAAAATTCGCTTGTCAAACAA